GTCCCCCAATCTCACAATGGATTCTATATACTAAACCTTGGCCTTTGTACCTTGGTTTAGGAAAATTTGTGTTAATAAAAAGCAAGGGGTCCAGAGATAAGGAGGACTTAGTTTCTTTAGCTAAATCTTCTCTGGCTCCCCAAAATGCCTTCCAAAATTATGTTCCATCTCTTGATTACTTTACAGCAACCCCTTTTCCAAATTCCTGAAACCCCCTTCTAGATGCTGGATTAAGACCCACAGCATCATTTACAGTCTGGACTGGAATAAGAAATCAGGGCAGATGGGAACCTACACTCAAATTTTTTACCATTTTGGGCTGCCTGCAAATGACCCTGAAAGCGCCATGAATATTGATTTGGGGTTTGCAAATGTTACAAATAAATTTCAGACGGTAGACAAGTTCATAAATAAGAAAACAACAAGCATTGAGGATCAAATGTACTTGTATTACTCTCCTTTTCAAACCAGGAAAGTGAGACTTAAGGAGGTTTAACAATTTCAATGCTTCAACAAACTTCACTGAGCACCAACTATGTTTCAGGAATTCTTCTAGGGCAGGCTTCTCACCTCAGCACCATTGATACTTGGGTCCAGGTAATTCCCTATTGTGGAGGACTGTCTATTGTAGGGTGTAGATCAGCATCTCTGGTCTCTACCCACTCAATGCCAGTATTGCTGGCATCCTCAAGTCATGATAACAAAAATGTCATCAGATATCACTAAATGTCCTGGGTGTGGGGAGAGCAGAATCGCTCCCAGTTATAAACACTGGCCTGGGAATTAGAGATTCAGTAATAACAAACTCCAACATCTATGATCTCAAGAAGTTTACCTTTTGGGGGACAGGGGAATGGGATGAGGGGTTAGTGTTTACCAGGGCAAGAGTTTTAGTTTGAGAAGATGAAAAGGTTTGGGAGATGAGTGGTGGCGATAGTTGCACACTGTGAAATGTAATTAATGCCACTTAACCTTACACTTAAAATAACCCGAATGGTAGATTTTCTGTTAGACATATTTTAGCACAATTTGAAATACACCAAACACCAAGCTTAGGTCTCACGTTGGGCTCCCGGGTGGCTGCGGCAGCACCACGGACAGCTCCCGGCGCCCTCTCATGGGGCAGCGGCTGGGCTTCTCAAACAGCCCTCTGTCCGGAATGCCTTTCCTTTTTCCATCCTTCTAACTCCTACTCAGTCCTCAGGGTCTACCGCACATCTTCACTGCCCTGGGATATCTTCCCATGCACACCCCTTCCCCCAACCTGCTACAGGCCTAAAGATAAACAGTAAGCAAGAGCCTGGTCTAGATGGCCCAGTGGGTTGAGTGCAGTCCGGTGCACCAAAACGTCACGGGTTGGATTCCCAGTCAGGGCATATGCCCAGGTTTCAGCTTCCATCCCCAGTCAGGGTAGGTGCAGGAGGCAGCGGATGGATGTTTCTTTCTCACATCGATGTCTCTCTCTCTCTCTCTCTCTCTCTCTCTCTCTCTCTCTCTCTCTCTCTCTCTCCCCTCGTTCCCCTCCTCCCCTCTGTCTCAAATCAATTTTTGAAAATCACTTTAAAAAAAACAGTAAGCAAGAAATATGTACACAGCCTTTCTCATGCCCCTGCACCGAGTTAGCCTCACTCTCCCTGCACCATCTCACTACATGCTGAAAGGCCAGGGCCATTTTGCTCGTTACCGACGAGGAAACTGAAGCGGACCCAGGGCTCCAACCCACATCTGGTCTGATGTCAGCGGATGCGCGGTGCCCCTCCACCACGCCGCTGCCTCCCGAAGTCCTCCAGGTCAAGGTCACCGCAATGCACCACCGCGAGGAGCGCCTCTTCCCCCCGCGGCCGAGCCCGCGTGCCCGGGGCGACTCCAGCGCCTCCGGCCCGGTCCTCGGCTCCATCCTTGGGGAGTGGCCGGCCGAGGCGCCGCCGAACGGGTCCTGGGGACATCGCTCCCTCCTCCCTCCGCTCCCCTGGGTGGAGGGGATGAGGCCATCGCCGCCATTGGTTTATGTGTGTGTGGGTCGCTTGTTTTGTTTTTAGATCTGCGATGCGCCATCGGGAAAATCATTTCCGCTCCTGCGGCGGGTGCGGCTCCTGGAAAGGCTCCCTCCAGCCAATGGGGAGCCGCGGCCGCCGGCGGGGGCTGTGCTTTTGGGCCAGCCCTGCCCCCACCCCACCGGCCCACCCCGCACACAAAAGCGGCGTAACTCACCGCCTGACGGAAGCCGAGCCTCTGACGGCGGCGAGCCGGGGAGGGAACGCACCTGAGAGTCACCGGCTGCGACGGCGATGACCGGGGACGCAGCCGCCTCCGGGCGAGGGGGAGCCTGCCGCTAGCTGCACCCCGCTGCCCGCCCCCCGGACACAAGCCGCCCGGGGTGACCTTGCTTGGATGCAGAGCCCGCCCCTGCGCGCATCTTCCTCGGATGCTCTGACCGCCCGCGGGCCGGCGGGGGAGGCGAGGGATGCCGGGCTGCGGCGGCGCCGCGCTCGCCTTTGTCTGCGCGTAACCGGGAGAGGCCTCGGCGGTAACCAGCTCTCACCGCGGAGGTGAGCCCACCTTGCTTACCCCCCACACCCCAAACCCTGCCGGGAGGGGTGCCCAGGCAGCTGCTGCTGCCACCCCCTCCCGGCTGGTGGGGCTGGTGGGAATAGAGAGCCACAGTCATGGCTCTTGGGGTGGGGACCCATCCGTTTCTCCGCCCGCCGCCGGCATGCACACCTCCCGTCCCCCTCCCGTGCTGGCGCTCACCTGGAAGCAGAGAATCGCACCATTTTCAGGATATTGTGTTTGGGGGGTGAGACGGATAAAACCCTCCGCCCCTCTCCGGGACGCTTCCTGCCAGACCAAAACGTCCACATCTGCCACCTCTGTGCCTTTCCTATGTATAACGCCGGGAGCGATCTGGCAGAGTGATCTGAGAGTGTGTCCATAAAGGCTTGTCTGTGGGGCGGGAGGAAGGGCGGGGGTTGAGGGCAGATTCCCCCTGTCCCTGAACTTGAATGTGATGTGCTAATAATTCAGCACCACCGCGCCAAGGAACGCTTCCCCGCTCGCCCCGGCCTTTGCCTCGTTGCCATTCTTAAATGGGAAGTCAGGATGGGAGAGTGGGAGGGGACAGGACCTATGGGGGCCTACCCACACCCACATGGAGAGGATCTTGGGGCAACGTGCGTAGGTCCACGGTCTGGGTTGTAGGGGTGTGTGTGTGTGTGTGTGTGTGTGTGTGTGTAAGGGGGGCGGTTGGGGGATCCTTCCTGGGGGCTCGAGGACACACCCAACTCAGGAAAAGGAAAACTGGCGCAGAAGACCACTCCCTTGTTCCATTGTGCTATAGTTCACTTGCTGTAGGGTTCTGGGTGATCCTGGTTGCCCACACTGTCAGGAAGATTCTTATTCATTTTTTGGCGAACTGCGTCTCACTGTCCCTTGTCCATGAATGAATGACGACATTGAGGACAGTGAAAAGGAGGGAGTGAGAAACTCTCATGGAAGTGGGGAGAGGGCTCAAATTGCAGCCATCCTATCCCTCCCTTCCTGGCCCTCACCTGTCTCAGGCTCCTTCTGGGTCCTCCCTCTCTGAGCCAAGATCCCAAACGAAGGCCCTCGCCCTTTCCGGGGACCATGGTCCAGTGCGGGCAGGGCTTTGGATGTCACACCTGAGCTGCTGGCCATGCACCAGGCTACAGAGGCGGCTGGGCAACAGGGAAGGTGAGGGGCTGGCTGGGGGTGAGGGACCTTAGACACTCACAGTGAGGATAACAACACTGGGGCTGTTTGGAGGATGGGAGAATGGGATGCGAGCACATAGTAGGTCCTCTATAATGACAGCCAAAGCCATGCCTGAAATCCTTTCACAAATTTGCAGATGATTTTTCAATCTCAAATCTATAGGCACTGGGAGCCAGGTTATAATATCCTGGACACTGTAGGGTGTTGAGAATCATCTCTGGCCTCCACCCTTTCAGCCCCAGGAGCAACCCCCCTCCAGTTGTGACAACCAAAAATGCCTCCAAACATTGTCACGTGTTCCCTGCTGGTGGGGGAGGGTAGAGGGGGGTTCAGAATTGCCCCCAGTAGAGAACTGCAGGTTTAAAAGCACAGAACCTGGGGTGTCATTTGAGTCCTACGATCCTGCACTGTTATGCCCAAAAGGTATCGTAGAGATTATTCCTAGCACAGGATTCATTTATAAACAGGGAAACTGAAGCCTGGAGGGGTGAATGGCCTGAGAGTCTGCCATACCCCAGTTTATACCCTAATTCAGTCTCACTCAGCAGCTGGCTCCGCTCCCAGACAGCCCAGCACTTAAGCCGTCATCTGGAGTGCTGTATCCACCCCGCCCCTGCCCTCAGCCAGCTCCTAGAACAAGACAAACAAACTGGCATTTTGTGGTCGCTAATAATTACAATCCTGACTCCCAACCCAAGTCACTTTCCAAGTCACTTTGTTGGCCCTCAGGTCAGCAAGTTGTCAGGATTTTCTTCTTTGAGGGGGGCGATAAAGGGACAGGGTAGGTGGCCTGGAGCAGATAGTAGATATGGGTTGGTTTTGACCAGGTCCTGTTTGAAAATGTCAATCCCAGCAAGGAAGCTCAAGTATATCAGTCATCAACACTTTAGTATAAATGAGTTTACTTGCTCTATGGTTTCCCAGTTGAAGACTAAGATAATGAAAGGGTGATGAGCCTTGGGGAAGGTGAATTTCAGAGCTTTAGACAGAGGGGAGCTTGTAGCAGGAGCTCAGTCTCTCGCCTGGGTTCAAACTCCAGACCCACATGGGTGTTGGTAGATCTCTATGCTTTTGCTTTATCGCCTGTGAAACGGGAAGCCTCATGGGGCTGGGCAATGATTCAATGAAATGGGCGCAAGAGCTCTTTGCAGATGGATCTGAAATGCCTGACATGGGTGAGGGGTTGTTATGATGATAATTGTCCAGTAACAACTTCATCCATGGCTCTCCTTCAGAATTCATCCCTGTTTCAAGCCACACGTGATCCCATGGGGACAACTGAAGCCACACTCCGGATGGAAAACGTGGAGGTGAAGGACGAGTGGCAGGATGAAGATCTTCCCAGGTACCGCCCCCGGGTCTCTGTGTCACCGGGGAGGGAGTAGGCCCAGCCTTCTCCGCGGTGGGGTGCAGAACTGCCCGGTGACCAGTCCAGGCCCGTAATGAATATTTGCTACATTATTTAAGACTGATTTCCACCAAAACCGTTTTGGCTCAGTGGTAGAGCGTCGGTCTGCGGACTGAAGGGTCCCGAGTTCAGTTCCAGTCAAGGGCATGTATCTTGGTTGTGGGCATATCCCCGGTGGGGAGTGTGCAAGAGGCAGCTGGTCGATGTTTCTCTCTCATCGACATTACTAGCTCTCTATCTCTCTCCCTTCCTCTCTGTAAAAAAATCAATAAAATATATTAAAAAAAAAAAAAAAAGACTGATTTCCACCCCACCCCTTATGCTGAAAAGCTCCCATTTCCATGTTATTTTGAGGATTATAAACATTCTTGCAAACCCATTTCATGGACTGTTTTATAATAGTCTTACCTGGGTTCCCGTGAACCGGGTGACAGTGTATTTTCACCTGCAGCCGTCAGAGGGAGTGTGCCATCCACCCCTTCAACCTCTGGGGCAAATGCCCATCCCACAGAGAACCCGGGGTTCAGCCTCCGCCTGCTTCTCTGAGCTTACTCCCATCGCTGTCTGTCCCCTCCACGTCCCTCCAACCCCAGCAGCTTCCTTCCAGTTCCTTACCCGTATCTGGCTGCCTCTGACGTTCAGACTTTGCACTGGCTGTTCCCTCTGCCTGGCACACTCTTCCCCAAACACGCATGCCTCCCTCATCTCCTTCAGGTCTCTGCCCACAGGCCACCTGCCCAGAGAGGACCTCCTGGCCCCCTTATCACCCTCTCCCAAGTTTCTCAAGAGGGGCACCCACACCCTAATCACTGAAACCTGGGGATGTTCCCTTACTGGCAAGAGGCACTTTGCAAGTGTGATTACGTTAAGGATCTTAAAATGAGGAGAGGATCCTGGGTTATCCGGGCGGTCCTTGTAAGAGGGAGGCAGGAGGAGACTTGACTACAGAAGTAGGAGCTATGATGATGGAAGTCACAGATGGGCGTCATGGGAGAAAGGGGCCATGAACCGATGGATGCGAGCACCTCTGGAAACTGGAAAAAGCAGGAAATAGACTCTCTTCTGGCCTCTAGAATCATCCGAGAATGCATGTGTGTTAGGGTAAGCCACTAAGTTTGTAGTACTTTATTGTAGCAGCTGTAGGAGACCCATACTATCTACTACACTAGACATTTTATATATTTCTCTTTTTTAAAGTCCATTTCCCTCCCTCCCTACAAAGGGAAAACTCCACGAGAGGTTTGGCCACTGCTGTATGCCAGCATGAGGACAGAGCCTGGCAAACAGTTGGTGCTCAATAGATAGGATGAATGAATGAATGACAGTCACTGGAAGGAAAAAACAAGTAGGAAGAAAGCCCTGAGCAGCATCCACTGCTGACATGCAAGAACCACCAGACCTTCTCTCTCTCTCTTTCTCTCTCTCTCTCTCCCTCTGATTTTTCCTCCAGCGAGGCGTTGCTTGTATAACACAAACTATCTTCAGCACAGGCTCCCTATTTCATTGGTTGGATACAACCACTCATCTCCTTCCCCCTTTAATGCAAGGACTTTACCCCCAGGAGACGATGACCAAGAGTTAGTTACATAACCATCTGGGAGGGAAGAGTCAAAGGAACTGAACATGCTCACCCTGGGAAAGAGACTATAAAGAGGCTCTCCGGCTCCAGAAATCCTTTGGCAAGAGCAGTGAGGGCAGAAACTAGGCTCACGAACAACAGGCAAGAACGGGATGCAGGTTTGAGTCCAACATAGAATATGGGCCTCAAATGGTCCGAGATACACTTTTTACAACTTCCCGTTCAAAAGCTGACCGGGCTCGTGGGAGGTCCTGGACTTTCTATTGACTGCATCCACGTGGGAGCTGCGATGTGGATTGCGTGAGCCCCAGGTGAATTTGAATTTAGACCTGTCCCGAAGCTAGCCGTTTTCAGTCTAGAGTGTGCACAGGTGTGTGTGGTTCTTTATAGCGAGAGGTGCCAGTTCTCAGAAGAGCTGAATCTCTTGTCTGCCCAATACCGTCGTCCGTAGCAGTTTGTCTCCAGGAAGAGAAGTATGTTGGGTGAGAGATGCCCACTGCATAGGGCCAACCTCCTGCTCTTCCACCTTTAGGACGTCCTTTCCATTTTCCCTCCCATAAGTCTTCCTCTTCCACCCTCTACGATAGGGAGTGCTGATGCCTGGGGAGGGGTCTCCTGGCACCCAGACGTGGCAGTTTGGGCAAATTAAGGATCGGGGGGTTTTGTTTGTTTGTTTTGTTTTTTAATATATTTTATTGATTTTTGTACAGAATGGAAGGGAGAGAGATAGAAAGTTTGAAACATCAATGAGAGAGAGTCATCGATCAGCTGCCTCTTGCACACCCCCTACTGGGGATGTGCCCGCAACCAAGGTACATGCCCTTGACCGGAATCGAACCCGGGGCTCTTCAGTCCCCAAGCCGACGTTCTATCCACTGAGCCAAACTGGTCCCAGCTAAGGATCGTTTTCTAGCAGGGAAGTCCTGATGTGGTTAAGAAGACTAGCCCAGCCAGTGTTGCTCAGTGGTTGAGCGTCGACCTAGGAACCAGGAGGTCACGGGTTTGTATTCCCGGTCAGGCCATATGCCCGGGTGGCAGGCTCGATTCCCCAGGAGGGGTCATGCAGGAGGCAGCCAATCAATGATGCTCTCTCATCACTGATGTTTCTGTCTCTGTCTCCCTCTCCCTTCCTCTCTGAAATCAATAAAGATATATTTTTTAAAAAATAAAATAAAAAGGCTCCCAAATGGACAAGAGGTGGCTTTGAGAGCAGTCACCTGCTCCTGTTGCAGGGGAGGGGTCTGTTTCCCATAAAAAGTGGAATCAGATGGGGTGATTCCAGCACCAAACATCCGGGTTCCGGTGGGTCTTCGATCAGTCTTAGCATCTCTGGCCTCTGCTGAGACCAAAGCACTCCCGGGTCTGGACTTTGAGAACCTTCTGATTCAAACCCCAATGCCTTGCACCTTGGGCAACTCTTCAAGCATCTTGGTGCCTCCGTTTTCCCGTCTGTAAGATCGGGGCAGTCATCCCCGGCTCGGGAAGTTGTGAGAACTCAATGAGGTGTGTGGGGCTGGATGGTTGAGATGGGCTACCAAAATGATGAAGGCTGCTCAGAGTCATTGTCACCCTCAGTATTGTTCCTATTAGGTTGTTTAAAAATATATATTTGATTGATTTCAGAGAGGAAGGGAGAGGGGGAGAGAGAGATAGAAACATCAGTGATGAGAATCAATGATTGCCTGCCTCCTGCACACCCTCACTGGGGGTCACGCCTGAAACCTGGGCATGTGCCCTGACCAGAAGTTGAACCATGACCTCCTTGTTCATAGGTCAGTGCTCAACCCCTGAGCCATGTGGGATGGGCTTTTCCTATTTGTATCTTGTTATCTCTGGTACCTTTTCCGGCCCCCTCCCAATATTTTAAAAGATAGCCCCTCTCCACAGTGTTGTGGAGACAAAAATGGGGCTGACTGAAACCGGTTTGGCTCAGTGGATACAGCGTCGGCCTGCGGACTGAAAGGTCCTAGATTCGATTCTGGTCAAGGGCATGTAGCTGGGTTGCGGGCACATCCCCAGTAGGGGGTGTACAAGAGGCAGCTGATCAATAATTCTCTCTCATCAATGTTTCTAACTCTCTATCCCTCTCCCTTTCTCTCTGTAAAAAAATCAATACTATATATATATATATATATATATATTTTTTTTTTTTTTTTTTTTTTTTTTTTTAAATGGGGCTGATTGCAGTTGCAAATGTTAACTTCAAGTAAGTTTCCCCCAGCTGCAGAGGGTCCCTCTCCCCTTCAGTAGGTCAGTGTCTGCAAGATAGTGGCCGCGCTGTGCAGCCCAGGGGGTGAGGGTGCCTTGGCCACGGCTTCTGCCTTCCTCGTTCTGGAAGAAATGAGTGCAGTTCCTTGGTGCTACGTCCAGCTGCATTTCAACATAAGCACCTCTGTCTGATGCCAGACAGTCCACAATTCTACTTCTTCCAGCTCAGTGAGCCCTTCCCCGGGGCATCGCCACGCTTCTCAGCGGCTGTGGGAGCACTTGCCCTGTGCCCACAGCCCCCTCCTGCTGCCATTATCTTGCAATCTCTTCCTTCACTTCCTGCCCTCCTGCAGATCCTATGGGGTCTGCGGTGAGGGCAGCCTGGGGATGATCTCTCTCACTGCCTAGTTTTCTCCTTTAATTCAGTCTAATGATCTGCACCGACTATATGCCCGGCCCTAGGTGAAACGCTGGGGACACGAGAACGCTGGGGAGGCTCAGTGGTTGAGCATCAGACCAGGAGGTAACAGTTTGATTCCCCATCAGGGCACATGCCCGGGTTGCAGGCTCAGTCTCCAATAGGGGGCGTGCAGGAGGCAGCCGATCAATGATTCCCTCTCATCATTGATGTCGCTCTCTCTCTCTCCCTCTCCCTTCCTCTCTGAAATCAATAAAATGTATTTTTTTTTAAAAAGAAGAAAAAGACAGCCATCCTCATGGGGTGCTCACAAGTTTGGGGTGGAGACAGGCTGCCCCTTTAACCTTACAACCCACTGAGAAACTGCAGGTGGGTTCTTGGCCCTTGGAGAGTTCCTGGGTGAGGTCTGAGCAGGCAGAGGCTGCACATTCCAAGCAGAGAGAGCAACACACGTAAAGGCCTGGAGGCCGAGGGGGCAGGATGGGGCCCGCAGGAAGACGAAGTGGAGACATGGGGAACCAGGGTGGAGAAGGGCCTGACCAGGGTCTCCCAGCTCCAGAGAGGCAGGTGCAGGTGCAGATGTCTGACTGGGGCACCAGCCAAGTGGCCGTGGGTTCTGCTGGTTTATACATTTTCATTCTGCTGAAGCTCTGATCTTAACGGAATAGCTAAAAGCAGGAGGCAGCACTGGAGGCAGAGCGAGCAGGGTGTGCCAGGGCACTGGGGCAAAGG